ACAGTATGTGAGGGGCGTAACATTTCCGTCTCACGCTTGAGGTATTCGGCCAATCACAACGCATTGGATAGCTGGCCAATCACAGCACACCTCGCTTTTTCAGACCGATGAGCTTTGTAAAAAATCGACGCGTTTCAAAAAGGCGGGGCATAGAGGAGAAACAATAATGTACAGTATGTGGAAAATAATGTGTTTTTTTTTACTTTAAACCGCATAAACACATTTCATTACACCAAATACACAAAATAATGTTCTTTTTAGAAGCATCATATGACCCCTTTAAGCTAGAATAAAACAGATTTTTTGTTTAAAAGCAGAGGCTCTGGTCTTTATTTTGGTGTACTGCATATTCAAATATTCATACAGCAAAATATACTGGAGGCCACCAAATAAAAAAAAAAAAAATGCTGGTGGGGAAAGAGTTAAAAAAGCATCTGCTTTAGTCTACTGCAGATATAGATATTCATGCATGTGTAGCCTATAACAACAGTTGCAGACACTCAGGGATCTTGCTCTCGAGTGTTCACAGACCGGCTTTGACTATTCCAATATGGCAGACGGCTTACATACTGTATATCAGCCCATAGAAACAGCCGCTAATAGGGCATCTACCTAAACATATCTAGGGTTTTAACCATTTTAGGTGCTGCTAATGTTCTCTCAGCCTTGACAGCAAACATACTGCTGTCCTTAAAACAAACAGCATGAGTCGTCAGTGATTCCACCTCTAGAGCTAGCTCTCTACTGTATAATGACAGCGGAGTCTTCTCAGCCACTCCAGCAACAGACGCAACCTGTAAAACTATCGGCATGGATTTTTGCAGATAGTTCCAGCAATCAACTATCGTGCCGATTAATCGGCAAAACCAATACATCGGTCGACCCAAAGCCACTAGAAGGCAAGCCTGCAACCTTTAGCCAAAAAAGCGTAATGGCAAAAGCTAACGCTTCCGCTTTGGCAGTACATGGGAAAGGAGTCCAGAGGCGTTTTTTTCTTTAATGGATGTCAATGGAGGAGAGGCTTCACTACACTGAACAAACAGCTTTTTAGAGGAAACGGCTTATCATTTAATGAATCAACAGCCTATCAGCTAATCTCCAACATGTTTTACACTAAACAGTTTTGGATTGAACTATTTTTACAGTTTACACTGAAAAAAATGCCATTTTATAAGAGAAGTCACTGACTTTTTGCGACAAGTGGGATTCAGCTTACGGCACTTCTCATTCATTTCTATGGTATCTGTAAACGGAGATTGAGTGACGTACAACTGAAATTCAATGACGTCAAGGCTGTGATGTGATTGGTTATTAAGGCACACGTGATCCAAGTTAGCCGTTACGCTTTCTCCAATAGTAAGCAATACAGACCCTCTCATCTCCCTATAGTAAGACAATCTCTGGGTCGACCTCTAGATCAGACATCTGAATGTGTTACACTGAGGACATAAGCTCTTACCCTATAATGGTTCAGGACCTCAAGTAGTATATTCTGCTGATCCTCCCCAACAACAGATTTGCTCTGGTTTAGAAAATAATTAGGACATCACTGAAAATGGAAATTGTTCTTCAACAACTGAATGGTGAACTGTCATTTATGAATAGAACAGGTACATATATGAATTGAGGTAACATTGACTAGTGTCAACTTCAACACTTATTGTGAGACAAACCTGTACTGGTGCATTTGGAAATACAGGAGGCTCCATGGCAGCTAAAGGGCTGATTGCCGTGTCCAGTCCAGACATCTCTGCAGGACCTCTGGCTGAATCAGACGGAGGCACAGCTCGGTGAAATGTGTGATCCTCAGACGGGAGTCCTACATTCATGTCCTTTGGAAATCAATGATCATGACTGCAATGAGGATGCATACTGAACTCAACATTTTTTTATCTAATACTCAAATACAATTACGTTTTCTGATCCTTATGCTGTTCCAAACTCATGTGACTTTCTTCCATGAAATACAAAAGGAGATTTTTTTGCAGAGTATCTGGACTGTTCTTTTCCATACAATGAAAGTGAGTGATGATATCTACTGCCAAATACAAAAACTGACAAAAGAGCATTATAAAAGAGGAGTAGTTTATAGTCCTATTCACCCATTTACCTGATGCCGATATTAAAATTGCCAAGTTTGTGTGATTTGGCTCTCCTTAATTAAAGGGGTCATATGACGTTGCTAAAAAGAACATTGTTGTGTATTTGGTGTAATGCAATGCACCACAGCGCGAAGTTGATGTATTTCCTCAGCGACCAGCACGGATCAGCTCCAGGCATGACGAAGCGGATATCGTCCTCTTTTGGAAGACCAAACAAAGTAGTTTCGCTTTCACAACGAAACACACAGCGCCTTCACGACATGGCGGCGGCAACAATACTACAGCGAAAATAAAAGTTACACCTTCTTTCTTTGCGTGAACATTTGGGTGGTGTTATGCAAATCTTCCCACATCGTGAGGTAGACATGTGGGGGTGTGTTAGAACGAGGCGTTTTAGGTAGGTGCGGTTGACTCTTAACTTTTATAAAGAATATCTCTTTGGATTTGAAACTTTAGTCTTTGCAACTTTACAGATCTTCTTTATGCACCAAGAGCTTGTAACACTCCCAAGAGAAAGGAAAAATTTAAATCGCATCATATGACCCCTTTAACTTTATTATATTACTTTTTCATTGGATGCATTCCATATTAAAAATCGTTAAATGCATCTGAGTGCACGAATGGTAACTCAGGTTAGTCAAAAAATGCATGAGAAGCATTGGATACAATATATCAACGATCACATTCACTTCTGGACGGAAGTAGATATCTCGGACGGTGATTAACATTGCCAAAAAAACCACAAAAAAAAACAGTAGGCAATTTGTTCTGTTTTACAGAGATTGTGTGACGAAAACACAGACTTGGCAGATTCGGATGTGATTCAAATTGCAAAGTACATCTGTGAAACACAAACTTCCGTTACATCCTCCTAGAAAACTAGTCCTGCCGAATAGGGCTTATGTGCAATACTCCAGCTCTTCTGAAATCTTTTTTTTTTTTTTTGAGAAACAGACTGAATTTTTTCTCTCTCAAGTCAATCATGATCACGTTTAAACCATGAAAACATAGCAACCCGACCCACTACATGCAAAAAACAATTTTGATATAACCTCTGCCATGACACATACTGAGGCACCACATTTAACCTGAAGAAAACATGGGTTTGAAAAGGCATAAAAGTGAATAAATTGACATACTGCATTTGACAGATGCTTTTATCCAAAGCAATTTACATTGCATTTAATGTATGCATTTTATCAGTTCATGCATTGCACACATCTAGCGCCATGCTCTACTGTTTCAGCTAAAGGCATGCAATTAAAAAAAATTATAATTAATTCCAAGAATGTATTGATATGGGCATCTGAGTGATTTAATTATTAACTGCAACACTAAAAGGATGAGAGGGGCTGTGGGTCAATACCCCGTTTGCTGCACTACACTCAAGGCTCTGATTGTGTCTCTGCTCAGCCAGAAAGGTCTGTCGGCTCTTTCGCTGTCCTTTTAATCTCCTCCTGGAAGCCACTTTCTCAAGGGGCGCCGAATCCTCCTGGTTATCTGAGATAGAAATTTGGGAATGATCAGTAACGAAATATATGGACTCAAATTTGGCCATATACGTACACTTAAATGACTGCATTACAACACATGAAACAAACATAACAAAAAACTGAAGACACTTTGCAGTTGTCAAACATTAGTGGATCATGCTCACAGTTAATGTGATGAACTACACCTGTGTGAATTTGAGAACCGACTTCACAGATCCACTGAAAATCACTAAAATACTTGTTGCTTATTGGAAAATGGCTCGGAAAAGTGAAGTTAAAGCAATCTTTACTTTACAACTTTATATTTTAGTAACTTAGCGACCTAGTTTTGATCATTAGGGAGACAGACAGAGAGACAACAGATGTTAAAGAATCAGATGTAGGTCAAACAAACCAAACCTCGCTCTCTGATGCTCTTCTTTCTCCAGATAGAAGCGCCGGATGAGTCTGAAAGCTCATCTTCGTCTTCACACTCCGAGGACTCGACAGGAGCAAATATACTCAGGTCCATCTCGGTTTCTGGATCTTCATCTTCAAGTTTGACGATGGTAAAGTGGTTGTCGCAGAGGCTGTCTGTTCCCTCCTCATCACTGTTGGAGCAACTTTGTGTCTGCGAATCAACGTCTGGATTTAGTTTAACCTTCATTTTGAGTGACCACACGCTCAACTACCTAGGCTTTACCAGAGCAAACTCTTGTTTGAGGCTCTGCAGGGAGTTTGCAGGTTGCTTTAAAGTGGCAGACATGCTTCCATTGGTAAGGAGTGCAGCGCGCGCGTTTCCCGTGTCTTCAGGTACGGGCGGAAGGATCTTCACATAGCAATACTCTGACACGTTAATCCTTGAGGATATATCCTCGCTTAATTATAGCGTTTATAAATGTTTCTTTCAAAGTAGTTTTTAAAATAATTGTTTGGCTAGAAAATAACTGCACATCACACATGCCGAAATGAGAAGAAATGCACTATAGCTGTGCAGGACAGGAACTATTTCCTCTTCCGCTCAGCAGCACGCACACATTTCATTTCTCTTCACGAAACAATGCCTACGTTAAATTTGTCGCTTACTGCAATAGGTTTTGTGATTTATTTTTTTTTTAGATTCTTTTAATTCAAAATTGGCACATTTTTGATCATGTTTTTGATTGTTGTTATGAATTAATGAAATATTTTGATTCTTTTTACTGCTGGTGACGTCTAATGTTATGCGTAATGGTAAGTAATACTTACTCTTTTAAACTTTAGATTTCACAAATACTTTCTATTTAATTAGTATACAATAAAGGATTTTGTCATGGTAGGGCTTTGGCACTGTAATAATGGAGACAAGGGCTGTGTCCCAAAGCTGGAAAATGCTGCCTTCAGAGGACGCATTTCAAGGTAGGAGGGCATCAATGCAAGTCAGCTTCACCTCCTGTCTCCTGCATGAGATGCCTTTATCTGGTCGATTTTTGAAGGCAGCATAGATGTATCCTTTTCTTAAAGTAATTAAATATGCGTTTAGTTATCACCAAAGCTCGCTCTATTTTGTTGTAGATCATTAAACTATTATGCTGCCTCAGAAGTCTGTATGAAATCAGTTTCTTGAGGTGCCTTCGTGTGCAAACGCTGCCTGCAAAGTCATTGCCTGATAAGGCAGCGAGGCAACAAGTCAGCAGCCTAGCTTTCAGACTCAGCCCAGGTCTTCTGTGATCGGGACAGGAGAAGGCCATAAACATATGTGCTGGTATAGATAGTAATGCTGACCGTTAACTTCTTTGGTAATCTTTGGTATAGAACTTGTTGGAAAATTATAAGCAACTAGCGTGATATTAACAGACGAACTACGCTCATATTTATAATTCCAAACAATCAGTAAGCGACAGGTGCTAGGAAATACTGTTTTGTACTCCTTTATTGACGAGTCGACTGTGGTGGGGCTAACTGAAAGCGCTGCTTCTCTGCCGCTCACTGCACAGAACAGACCCCGAGAGAGGCGACACTTCTCCGGGAAAGTCAGACCTCGCGTTCGCGGGACAGCACTGGCGAAATCTTCCAACTG